TTGGTAAACATACATTTTCGTAGTTTCGCCATGCGACATCGTATTCTCTGGTCGCTAAAACAAAATTTGAGGTTATTGTTTTAAAATTGTTTTTGTTAAATGCGGTACGTGAAAACATTCCGCTTTTGATGACCTAAAATAAAATAGGAACGTTTTGTATTTACTCATTTTGACAGATTTTATAATGATTGTCACGATGCTTTGATTACGTTATCACGAACTCCGCGCTTTGATAGTTACATAATTGAACGAGAAAACCGTTTATTGTTGATAAACCTTATTGAATAAGCATGAAATCGAAGTCACGCCACGAAATTATGATATGGTAAGTGAAACAGTTACGGTTTAGGTGTTTTTTGAGTTTTTCCTCAGATAACGGTTTCAGACTCCTATCACAGTAGCTTGACCGGAGGCGGTGGCGGCGGCAGCGGTGGCGCGGGCGTGCTGCGATGTGGCCACGACCGGCAAACATTACACGCCTACACGAAACATCAGAATGTAGGAACCATTAACGTCGAATTGTGGGTCAAATTCACGACGAGAAATCCTTCGTTAACGTTTATTGTGATAGGTTCGATTCACCGGCGAGCCATTGGCCATAACACCCCATTGTACTCGCAAGTTGCGATTCTTACGAGTCTATAAACCCATATGTAGTGGAGTCGAGGTATGTGGGTAAATATTAATGTGAATGGCAGCACATGTGCGTCGAGTGTGGCGGGGTGCGCGGGTCAACGGCACCTGCGAGGCCCAGATTCAATTCCCCATAAGTTGCCATTTTCTCAGGAAGCGGCGCCGGCGGCGACGCGTGGCACGCAGCGCATTCTGTCACGCGGGGACTGCGCGCGCGCATATTGAAGCGCGCTTTCATTAATGCGGAGTCAGTGAAGAGGTTTCTGAGTTTTAAGGACACTTAATTTTATTGCTGCCATTTTATGTTGTCTCTGTCGTGGCATCGATGAGATGAATACGTTTAATACACTAACTCAGTTTTAAACTGTAACGCGATTGATACATACATGGGTATTATGTTAGGGAAGCCTTCAAAATTGTGTAGCCGTCAACCAAATAGATAGGCCTGAAGACTAAAGTTAATCGGTATCTATAAATAGCATCTTTACTAATTCGCGTGAACAAGAGGTGCTGATGTTTGCATTGTCTTTTTTGCGTTACAAAAACTATGTCGGTGAAGAGTTAACACTTCAGCGTCGTGGCCGCCAAGCGACTCGAGAGGAAGAGGGCAATCCACCGTTTAGCTCCCGTCAACTAGCCGTATTTCCGCAGTGAACGCAGACACCACAACACAAAGGAATCGGATGCTGCTTGGCCTTGCTTGCAATCATCAATGATTGCCTATATTTACACCTGTTTATCAGACGTGAATCTTTGAGTAAAACAAAGCTTCCACTTTATCGTGGACACGAAATCAGTAGCATAACGACTGAAAACGCTTGTACATGCTTTAATTTCCATTTGACGACATTCTTATTTAGTTATTCTGACAACTTTTGAGAAAAATTAAGAATTGTTGGAATCAGCGCAACGAAATAACCTTTGATTTCCTTTTTTCGTTTTACACCTAAACAATTAGTTTGGGTACGCTGGAAAATGTACGTCAATCGTTCGAGTAAGCGAATTCTAAGTAATGAATTTTATGCTGATAATTTTGCTGGTAACGGTTCTCTTACGCATTCAGACTTTGTCATCAATTAGTATTGTATTTCAGGTAAAGCCTTAGTCTTTATGGTCAAAAATTTAGTTCCATGTCTATTTTACATTACTAATGACTTAATGAATTGCAAATACACTATCAATTTAGAAGATATCTCATTACAATTGTTTGTAACGTTATAGAGAAATGAGATGCATTTCCAAATACACGTAATCTGAATTCTATTTTCTTCATTGTCCGCTGTAAATTGCCGTGAATATACGTTATATAGATACGTTGCGTGTTTTCATTTCATATTTTTGCAAGCAGTTTTAACATGAACGCTTAGTGATTTCTGTGTGTCATTTTTTTTTTGTTTGAGCAACTTGTTATTTTATGCATATATTAACCACATTTTGCACTTTTTTTAATATCAATACACTAATTTTGTGTTTATAGAATTTGGTGCTGTAAATGCTATAAGTATTACCATACAAATACAAAAGTCGGCTCAAGTAATGCGTCCATGTCACATAGAAAGTTTTTAGCGAGGGGTTCCAAAGCATAGTGTCCAGTATGTAAGTGAGGTGCGCGAAACCTTCACCCTGCACTTGAACTCTGCGCGGCGCAGGCGCAGCGGCCTGAGCTTTGCGCAATGGACCGCGCCGAACGCGACGATTCGCACTCCCGCGCTATCTTCCATGCCATTGTTATTGAACTTACGGATTTATTATTATCACAAGTTATACAATTCAACTTACATAGGATTGACAGTTTGATCAATTATATTTCTTTTTCTTTTCATTAATGTAATGTTAAATATTCACATTTCACAGTTCATATTGAGTTATTTAGTCGTTACAAATCTGAAATAAACTTGTACATTACGAAAATATTGATTATTGTCTTTTAATATCATTCATTTTTCATTAATTTTGTTTTAATCCGGGATTTGTAGTTATTTACTAATTAGTTTACCTAATTTATAACAGAAGTTTTCATAATGAACCGCTTACCTGTTTTGAGTACGAAACGAGATATTTTCAGCCTCCTTGGCCACTAAGTGACGCGTAACCAATTGCTCACTCATTTTTAGACGTGTGGCAAATCCCCCAACAGTTTCAGAGTTATCTATAGCAGTCAGTTTGCCTTAGCAAATAAAACTAGCAATTATTTTTATGTGTTTCTGAATGCCATTACTATTAAGAATGGTGCTAAGAGAATATAGAATCCCTCAAAAATATGTAAATGCAGAAGCTTTTTCTAATAGCAATTGCTTGCTACCGATGCAGTCACTCAAAAAAAATGTATATATTAATTGATTTTAAACGTATGTAAGTATGAATTTCAAAATTCCCAATTATAGTTCAGGCTATAAAAGTCATAAAGTGTTACAAATGTAGTTACCATTTGTAGTTTAGAAGAAAAAACATTGTTAAAAATAAGTATTTTTGTAATTAAACGAAGAGACTGGCGTGTCAATCACGAAAAGCGATTTCAGCGGATGGTATTTGATGCGCAGTGTTGTAGAAAATTGCAGGCTTTTGCCATTGTCTTATATTTTATACATCTTTTGGCATAAAGCTTCGGCTTAACATGGCTCGCAATCATTTTATGGCATAATCTGCATAGGCATAATTTATAAAACTTTTGAAAAGTAAAACATAAAATTTAAATTGAAACAAAATTCAGTTAAACCGGAAAAATAATTATATTTTGAAAGAGAACATTACAAAAGTTTGAAAAATAACTGAAAGATGAGAGGCGTACAGTAATGGTACGCTAATTTTTGTTCTTTGTTGTTTATAAATACTTTTTACATTATTTTCACTATATAAAATCTCTGAAAAAATAATACATAATTCATATTTAAGATATTCCTACGCAGTCTGGTTGTTTTTATTGCCCATTGCCCGAGGGGAGCAGTATTCCGAGGGACTACCCTTTGCAATATCGGTTAATTTGGTTTTAGGCCCTTTCCTTACCAAATAATAATACTGCGACTGCGAAATTTCCACATAGTCTTTCCAAAATTATTTCTTATCTCGTATCTTTATCGAAAATTGAATCTTGTAAATAATGTTTTATCGCGAAAAGGAAATTATATTCATTGTTTGACGGAATTGTCAACATATATGTATAGTTTATATGTATAATTTTATTGCTATTTTCATGTGACTACACTTTCTCTACGTTTTGGTTTATTCGTTGATCTTAAGAATCATAATTTTAATTTATATAATTCTAAAACACTATTTGGGCAATTCAACAATGTAAAAAGCATATTTTCTAGAGGGCTAGGTAATTCGATTTCAATCCATTTAGCGAATGCAAGATTATCGTGCGGTGTAGAATATCGCATCGGTCACGGTGCGCCCGCGCCGACGAAGCCGCCGCCACACGCAGACTCAACTTATTCTTACGGCGTACATAATAAAACAGTTTTACGCCCAAAAAACTTTTTAAGAGTTGTTAATTTTGTGTTAAAAAATTATATCTAAGAAAAAATCTAAAAAACTTGTTGAATTTGAAAAAAAGAAAATGATGATATTGCTCTCTAAAAAGTTTTGTATTTAGCCTATTTATAAAAAATAAGATTATTAAACATACTTACATGAGATATTTATATGGTATGCAGAAAATAAAGTAATATAATATAAACTAAAAAACGAAGTTTAAGACTTACTCCATACTCCATTAGCTAAATTTTTGTAGTGACTTGTACCTCATGTAACGTATATCGTAGCCATTACTCGTGTGTTGTAAATTTAAATTACTTTTCTAGCAAAAATTATAAAACTATTAACGAGGTGGTCGATATCAATGCACTAGGCGTAAAATCATAAAAAAGTCTATAAAATGGTGATGTTAAATCAAATTATGCCATGCAAATTCTTGTGATGGTTTTCATTGAAATCGGTTGAAATGCGAATTGAGTAAAATTTATTTTCAAAATAAAAATATTAATTTGTGTTAAACACAAGGGACTACATGCGCACAAAAATAATCGAATTTACCAAAAACATATTTGTCAAGTATAGTTGTTGGTATTTTGTATTTGACATTATTATTTGAAAATTCGGTTAAGTGATTGTTTTGTTTGGTGAATTAAAGGAAGGAATCGTTGTGAGCTTGCAGCTGCGGAAAAGCTCACCACCGGCTTTTCCAGACGCTTCACTTTGATGCGCTTTAATAGACATATAAGCGTACTGCCTATTCCCTCTCAAATAAAAATTCTTGTAACTTTCTTTCCTTAAATATCCAATGTCCAATAACCGAATATAAAAATGTAAATTCTGAAATTAATTTGCAATTGTTATAAAAAAGTTTTAAAATTATTTGCACTCACCTCCGCGCGTGTATGCAAACGTTCGCGTTCACTGGGGTGGGTTTCAGCGTGATATGCAAAGTGTGTGTCACTGTCCAGCAGCAGCGCAGCAGCAGCAGGTGTGGTAAATAGTGCACGGGTCGTTGGAGAGCGTGGTGTCGTTGGCGCGGCCGGGCCGGCACTGACGCGAGGCGGGCGCTCGCGCGATGCCGCCGCTACGCTGGCGGAGGCTTCGCGGCGCGACGCGAGCTTTCAGCGACACTCGACCCGCAGTCCCGCACGCACTGCACACTGCACTCGCCTCTACTCTATTCTACTCTACTCGTCTACCGCGAGCGTTGCGATTTTCTCGACCGTCTACTGTTCTGAGCGCCCGACGCACGTTTGAACTCTTCGCCGAGCCTGCTTTGGTGTATAAATATGAGTGCCGGTGGCGGGGGCCGGCGCCGACCGCGGCGCATCACGAATCTACATCAGCATAAAGATGCAGCCGGTGTCCTCCCCATTCAGTTTATTGCATATCTATCGGTTGCAGGCAATTAGCAAAAACTTCACCTCCCGTCAGTTGTCACGACAATTCTACACGAGCGTAGCGCTACTTACCTGCAATTAAGACGTAACATTTTATGTCGCTGTACGTAACGATTACAAATTCTAATTAATTACACGTATAAGATGTATATTCAGTGGGCGCCGTCAAACGACATGCTTTAGGCGTGTGATGATAATTAATAAGAGATCGTGTAGCGACAGGCGACGGACCCCAAACCCTTAACCCTGCACCCCTCGGGCTACGTGTAATCTATCATTTGTCATGTCAAATACTCGTAATGCTCCAACATTTTTAAGTTGTGAGGACAGCGAATTACTTTCTTGCTTAATAGCAATTTTCCCGCGTAGCCCCTCAATAATTCATTTTTTTATAATTTCAAGTGACGGTACGAACAAGTCGAGCGCCTGGTGGTAAGCGTCACGCCTATCGATAACAATTTACGGTGCCACTCAGAGCTTTAAATCGCAAAGATCTTATGGGCACTGCTACTGCGCCCATCACCCTGAGATATAAGTTGACAAGGCCCATGTGTACGTAATTTACACCAGCACGCTTACCCTTCTAAACCGGAAGGCAGTAATGCTCACATTACTGCTTGGCGACAGAAAAAGGTAAAGTGGCAGTAATTCCCTGGACGAACTCTTTCACAAGGAGCTCCACGAGTACTTTTATTTTCGCAAATGTACCCCTAATCCGATGTCCATTTCTTGAACATACTATACTTGTAACGCATTGGCCAACGTTAGAATTACGAGTCATTTATCACTTATACTTACTACTTAGATCGTGATTGATAAATTTTGAACGGAACCAGAAGTGAATTACGAACCAGGAAGTGTCAACAGCCCCGTAAAACACAACATGACAGTAATGGCTTGTTACTTGCTATTAAAGACATCAACGCGTTACTTGCTATTAAAGACATCAACGCGGTGGGTATCACAAAAGTCTTCTTATGCCCAACACACAACTATAGATAATAAACTAAATATCACAATAAACAATAACAAAATGTTCACATAAAATAATAACATTAGATCCTATGTACAATCTCTAAAATCTTGCGTAACGAGATGAAGTACGTGATATAAAACTTATAAAAAATATACATTATTACTAGCCAAAATTTTCTAAATATTTATTATAATAATAATAAAGTATACCTATGTTTTTATATTCTGAACCTTATTACAACCTCCAACGTACTAAAATAACGACCGAATTAATAGTTTGCCTTGTAACTACTGACGTGAATTGTCATTTAAATCAAGTGCTTTAACCCTCAGAAGACATGTTTGGCAATGTTGTTTATCCCTTAACCTGTCACAGCTGCATAGCCGTCATCTCTGGACACACCCTCAGAGAGGATTTAAAAGAGCACAGGCAGAGGGGAAAACAGTCAATGTAAATACAGGCAGTGTGAGGGAAACATTAAGTAAAAAACAAATATACATCGCATATAGCTCCAATTATTACGTATTTCTCATCATATTAGTCTAAAATCGCGATGCACACAAAACATCTAATCTAGAGCCAGCAGGTTAATCACCTAAGGCGAATAAACAGTCCGATTGAATAGACATGCTGTCTTTTCGGCTCCTTGTTTCTAGTTGAAACCACAGTTTTTACTAATAATAATTTAACGTTACATAGTCATAAAAATTTAACATAAAAAATTCTGAATTCTAGTTTCTAATTAAAAGTGTCAGTGTGTTACAAAATTAAAATACAATTAATATATTAAAATTGAGGACATTAAAAACAATTATAATAGTCACACCTTAAAAACAAAGTTTGCACAAGTTCTAGTTATCTGTGACACAGTGTTGACGTTAAAACCAATGTTTCTAATTAACTGCCAAATGTATACGGTAACATTATATTAAAATGTTTCACAATTTAATTAATATAAAAGCTTTAAAAGAAATAAAGACAAACAAGACAAAGCACCTGAGTTTACCTTACAAACCTTATAATCTATTCATTAAAAACCAAAAATACACCATTTCAATAATAAACACAAAAAAGTTGAAAGTTTATTCATAGTCATTCAGACAAATTACTTATTTATAAATTGCTTTGCCAAATGTAGAGTTAAACTTATTATGAAAATGATAAGACGCAGCGGGCGGCGGTCATTAACCCTGCGAGGCCTTGCCGCGATTAGCAAAGGACATTAAAATGCGACAAAACGGTACAAATAAATCTGTCTATGAATATAACTTATTTACGACTATAGCTACCTGAAACAAACTTGTGTGTAATAAATAAAGAAAACAGTGCGAACTTTCTGCGGTTGTAAAAAAAATCACCTCCCCAACCATCGAAAACAACAAAAAGAAATCTTGCTCCGACAAATATGAAACAACTTGCTGTTATTTACTACTCGAAAGATGATAAAACTTCATCAAAAAAACTTATTTCTGATTTTAAGCTGCAAATAAGAAAATATAATTAAGAATCATTCTTTGGGAGAGAAGAACTATTTTATTCATTAAAAATGGAACACATATGAACAAATCAAAAATGACATGAATTTTTTTATTGAGTTCATAGATTTTCGCGATTGTTACACATAGGAAATGAAACTATTTTTCCGGATTTAAATCGCGTATATTTGTTTTTTCAAACAAACCAACGTTTCGGGCCCTTTACAGGTCCCATAGTCACGGTTGACTGATTTTTTTTAACTTATCGTACTCAGAAAGTCGTTGACAAAATATCAATCTAATTTAATGGTGTCTCGATATAGAATAAAAGCAAAGAGATGACGACTAAATTTAAAGTTATTTTTCTCCTTTACCCTCACTTTAGAAGTAAACAAACTGAATAGTAAATCTACGTCAGGTCTCAATGTGAAATAAAACGAAATAATGAATACTGTTAAATACTTTTGTTTGACCACATCTTGTATAAATGCACTAAAACGACTAATTTATATATATATAATAAAACAAATCCAAACAAAGGCGAAACAAAAATAAAAAAGAACATTAAAATTGTGTGAAAGTTTGCAGACTACACAAAAAAACGAGTCTTCATAAAAAGTTACACTAAACATTTTACACTATAATAACTTTGCTACAGAAGTGAGCTCTATGAAATTTCCTTCATTCATTTCCTTCCTTCCTTCTCTGATACCATGTTCTCTATTTGCAATTTAATCACAACCGTTGAGTGTATTAACAACAAATGTACTAACTGACAATTTGTCAAAAAATATTGTTCAAAGAGTAAATAAGCTTTTCGAACGCTTTTTCTTAATGTACCTTTTGTCATGAAATTTTAGACCGACTTGTAATTTTGATTATAAGTACACCAAACAGTTCACAGCTCTGGGGCATCGCCAAAGTCGAAATGATATGTTCGTGTTTAATAGTATGGATAAAAGAAACCTATTACCAATTGAGTCATAAAAATGACCACCCCACCTAGACTTGTTCCATGCAACTACATATGAATTGAGAAGGCCAGCAGCGTGCCGGTAGCGTGTCTATATGGGACATTGCCACTTTACAAACGTAGCCAACGTGTTTGTTAATAGAATTTAAGGCAAAAAGTCTTATTTTGGTGCATATTTGGCACAATGTCAGACTATTGGCTAGTCGTAGCAGTAGAGCTCCTTCTGAAAGAGTTCATCCAGTGTAGTACTGCCACCTTACCTATTTCTGCCGCCAAGCAGTAATATCAGCATTATCGTGTTTCGGTTTTGAAGGGTAAGGGTGCTGGTGAAATTACAAGCACATGGGACTTGTCAATTTATGTCTGGCACTGCCACTGGTAGTGCCACTAAGATCTGTACGATTTAAAGGTCTGAGTGACACTGCAACTGTTATGGATAGGCATGTAGCTTACCGTCAGGCGCACGACTTGTTCGTTCCGTCACTTAATATTATAAAAAAAATTGGCTAAAATGAAAAAAAAGTAAAAAATATGGTCCATTTCAGACACCATAAGTAGTAAATTAGTGTAGTTAGTTACAATTATATCAGTAAGTAGTAAGTAATAAATTTATATAAAAAAATGAGGACATAATATAACCATTCGATCGCACAAGAAGCCATTAGTTCCGGATATGGTTACGTCCCTATTGGGTAGTTTCATAAAATATTTTTGGAAGGGACGCAACCTGGCTCCCATTATCTATTGGCTTAACAAAATAATATGCGGCCGCATTACGCGCAGGCAACCGTGATAAGTGAAAATGTGTATTTTGCAACCGCATTTAATTTTACTTACAACAACGATCAAAATTACGCGTGATTAATTGTGATATGAAAAAATATTTTGCAAGCACCATATATGGCTGATTTTTCACACATTTTCAAAAAAATTACCTCGACTCATCAAAATTGCATCGTATTTTCCATTACATTTGTTCCAAGGCCTATCATGATAGGCCTTGTATTAATGGTGGGCACGGGTTCCCTATAGGAAAAGGATGCTAAACCACTGCTCAAAGAAACTAATGATAGCGTCCAAGCCGCATATAATAAACTCGCTTCAGAGTTCAAAGAACTATACTATAATTATTTGCAATAACCAGTATAGTTGTTATGTATAAAATTAAACTTTATCTGGACATTCACCAGCGAAATAACATTAAAAGACAAACCGTTTCCTTTGCTTCGACAGGAAATGGTCGATCCTTTAATGATGTTTCACAATTTACACCCGACACCGTTATTGATATAAAAAATAAGGATTTTT